AATATGTCTTCTTAGTATGTGTGCTGAATGTAATGAAAACAGCAATCAGTTTTCTGTAGAGGAACTGCTTTTTAATGAGTTAATAACCATTTGTCAATTATCGTGATCATATTAGTTTTGCATTGTTAAAATCAAGCTATGGATATCAGTGCAATAAATATGTCAGTGAATTTTTCTGAATGGATGTGAAAAATTCTTAAAAATGTTATTAACAATTGACTGCCCCGTATATATATATATATATATTATATTGATCATATATATATATATATATATATATTATATGAACATTGTTGCCAAATCGTGTGCTAAAAGAATATTCTGTAGTTCCCTCATGGCAGATTTTTTTAGATTTTTTTATTGTGAGCGTAAAATTTTAAATGGACATTACTTGAGAATATGAGATCTTTTAAAATAGTTGTTGCCATTGGATTCAGCATCCTCAAATTAGGTTTAAATTCCAAATTTGTTGATCCAATTTTTGTATTTTGTCCCAAATGAAGTCATAATGTTCCTATGATTTTTAGAGGTAAAATTTTTAGTGTTTGGCTAAATAGCATATATTTATACAAATTGGGTACTCTATTTATAAATTGTCTAGCTTTAGACTTGACTACTATGCTCTCTTAATGGCAGATTTTTGATAAAATTAACAGCAGAATTATAAATGTAATATTTTCAGATGCTGAGAGCTATATTAGTACTATGAACTTCGATAGTAAATCATAGCAAACTTGTAACAATGTTATTCCTCTATACTTCGGCATTTAGCTTCCCCTTTTATGATAATGACCATTTGATGTCATGTTTGTGTTAAACCAGAACTTTTTTATTCTTTATCGTTTTCACTTTGTACATTTCTATATGTTGTAGACATAAACAGTGTCCATGAGCCACCCAGAAGAGTCCTCATCTCTCTTCCAGACAGTGATATAGCTCTCTCTGATTATCTTTTTCCTGGAGAAGGGCCACAGGATGTGAAAGTTTCTTTGGAAGAGCTTTTAGACATTACTGTAGATGATGAAGTGGAGATCATGGATGTAGAAGGCCAAGCGGGTAAGAAATATAATGCATATTTATTTTTTCAATAGATAATGTTTAAGGTTTTACTGAATGTGGCATTTATGCTGATTATTTTTCAACTGGCTAGTTTCTATGTAGTTCGTCATATGTCTTCTTCATGGATTAGAAATGTTTAATCAATTATTAATATTTTTATACACATCATATTGGATTTTTAAGAATCAAAATTTCGATTTCCTGCATTAAGTATATACAATATACAGTATCGTTGATTAACGACAGTATTTAATAACAAGATGTAGGATTATATGTGAGAGGGGTGGGAAAGGTTCTGTCTAGTAGTAAAACTATTTATTTATTTATTTAAAAAAATGCAATATATCAATACAATCAATGTTTAGCTTAATAGTCTCTTTCCATCTTAAAACTCTTTCATTTCAAAAGTGTTTCTCAGTTAAACCTGTCTTCAATTTTAACAATGGACGAAAATCCGAAGGACTTAAATCCGTTAAATATGATGGATACATTATTCTGGTAAAAGAAAATTTCTTTTTTGTTAAAAAACAAGCTTCTTTCAAATATTTTTAATTCTATTTCTATATTTTGTATTACCAACTGATTAATTGACCCTCCGCTGGATATTAATTTAAGTAAATTCATTAGGAATCTCCAAAATACTGATAATTTAGTTCGAATATGTAGAAAAATATCTTAAATTGGTCCTAGTGAGTAGGAACTTAATTTTTTTGTTGAAATGTTCCAAGAACGTCGTTTATAATTAGAATTTGAGTATTATTCAATTGAAAAAGTTGTGAACAATTCAGGAGCAATTCTTATACCCCTATTTTTTAACCTATTATCTAGAATATCACAGAAAGTATTAGACATACGACAAAAATTCAGTAAAAAGTTGCTTGTGCAATTAATAAAAAAAAACAGTTGCTAGAAATGAAAATTAGTGAAAAGAAGTTGTAAATATAATATTTTGAAAATTTGACTGAAAGAATGTTGACTAATTTCTAGTTCTCTAATGTACGTCATGAATAGTTCTCTCTGTTTGTCATATGTTTGTTCGTTGTACATTTTTGGATTATAGACAAATTTTATCGTTAATATACATTGTCATGTTCCCATTTAACTAACGCTATGTTGCAGATTTATTGGAACTCGATAAATATTACAAAGGTGCCTTAGATAGTGATCCAACCGAAGACTTGCCGATAATAGCAACAGATCCAACCAAAATGGTGTACATAGTGGGGGCAATATCGTTGATTGTCCTCATTATCGCTATATTGTTTAACTTGTTCTAAGGTTACGCCGTTTTTATCGTTCGAACTGAGATTCGTGCATTTATTTTTTAAAATATATGTATTTTTAAGTTGATCTATGTGTTTGATTGCTAAACCTTAACGTTATGTGCTCACTAGCGAAGCAAATGTCCAGTTTATATACCACTCCACTCCATAACTTCCGGAGTTAACATAGATGGCGCTACTGATAACAATTCGAGATATGATATATAACGTGCTGTTGTCTTCAGAATATTCAACATATAAGTAATGGTAAAACGTTATATAACTTGTCTCTCTATACACCATTGGCTGTATGTAGTCCACGTTGTAGCCGAACATTAGGAGAATTTTATAAATTTTTTTCTCCCTTTTGATACTAGAAACGAGTTGATTACATCAGCAATATTGGTGTAACACCTATTCCAACTGAATGCCTTCTTTTCCTTGAACGATTCAATTTGTTCCCGGATTAAACTAATAGCAAACGTGACAGGAAATTGAGGACTCGAAAAGCAAAAAAAATATATAAGAGTGCAACAATATGAAAATATAAGCACTCTAATAAGGGAACTCTTTTTATTACAGAGAGAATAATAACCATATATATTTTAACCGAGAGAATAACTGTCGGTTATTCTTTAGTTTAACTATTGAAATGCCTCGTCACAATCATTTTACTAATGAAGAAATGCGAGATATGATTTGCGTATACGCACAAGAAAATTCTTGGCTCGGCAGCCAGAAGGTATGTAATATTATACGCAAACAGAAGGCAACCAAATCACCAAACTTTTGCAAGATTATATCGTAGTTTAGGTGAAACTGAACTTTTGGTTCGAGTAGATGAAAATCCTGAAATAAGTTCATGACATCTATCAGCAGCAACAAGAGTAAGTCAGTCGTCTATTGTTAGAATTCTAAAAAAAGAGAACCTCCATCCTTATCATTTCACTCCTGTTCAAAATTTACTTCCAACAGATCTTCCACATTGGTTACAGTTTTGCCAACGTATTCTGAATAAACATCGCAATGACAGACACTTTATTAAGAATATTAAGTTAACCGACGAAGCAACTTTTACCAGACGAGGGGTTTTAATTGGCGAAATAGTCATTATTGGGAAGAAGAAAACCCGCATGCTATTACAGCTAGACATTTTCAGCATGAGTTTAACTTGAATATTTGGTGTGGCATTATAGGCGACAACTACTAGGGCCTTATGTTCTTCCTCCAAATTTAAATGGAGATTCTTTTTGGAAAATACTCTTAGTGATATTTTAGATGATCTGTCACTGGATGTAAGAAGAAAAATGTGGTTTATGCATGATGGAGCGCCACCTCATTTTTCATTAGCTGTTAGAAATCATCTTAATGACGTATTTCCTCAACGATGGATTGGCAGAGGCAGTGATTTTCAATGGCCACCAAGAAGTCCTGAGTACAACCCGCTAGATTTTTATTTTTGGGGACATATGAAGTCCTTAGTTTATGCCAATGAAATTAATACACGAGACGAACTTTGGAGATACATTCAAAATGCAGCTAATCTTATAAGGGAACAGAATATTTTTTTTAACGTCCGAAAATGCTTTATGAAAAGAATTAGAAAAGGCGTAGAAATCGGAGGAGACCATGTAGAACATTTAGTTTGAGATTTTGTGAGTTCTTTTAAGTTAAAGTGTGTTTAGTTTTGATTTATCGTCAAAACAGAAACCTTACGTTAGTTGCAACTTTGTTTATTAGTTTGGTATTTGATAGTGGAATTGTAAATAAAATACTATTTCTTGTCTAAGATTATGCCTCTGTGCCAATTTTGATAGCAATTTATAAATATACAGGGAAACTATTAGTAAAGAACGAAAAACAAAAATTAACTTTAACACACTGTATCTTTTTTCTCAGCAACATTTTATTAAGGCATATTTGGCCCAATAGCCACATTTTGGTCAAGATAACCTGTCCCTGTCCTTAGTGTATGTCCCAATAGTTATGACTCACCCTGTATACATCTACAATCTATCTGTGACGAAATAAATAACAAGGGTTTATTAACGGTGTAATTTTTTATTAAATTCAGTTACAGAAAAGAGATTAAAAATAATACAAGTGTTAAGCGGCTCTTTGTATAACCTCATAACCAAATACATAAAAACAACAATTTCTGTGGACTAAACATGGATACAATGGCATCAATTTTGTCAATAGATGGCAGCAACATCTGGTAAGACAGAAAACGTCTAAGTCTGCGTAGTTGTACAACAGATGTCGCCCATATTTAGAAGTACCAGGACGAGTTAGAAAATTTACCCAAAAAAATTAATATATATAAATGAAGAAAGAAAAAATACAGACATAGAATTGGGAAAGAAAAATAAAAAAAATAATAATAAACACAATAATATTAAAAAATACGAGATCTGGTTTTCGTTATTTAAAGAGCAAATTACAAAAATAATGTGGTAGTGAAACGCAGTATATAGAGGAGAATATTATAAAAAAGGATACAAGATATGGCGTTCTTTATCTAAGTAGCAAATTACAAAAAAATATGGTAGGTATAAGCCTAAGGTAAGGCAAGGTAATAAGCCTAGTAGGTATATAGAGGAGAATATTGTGCAGTGTCAGGATGAAATACCTTAATCAGACACGAGAAAGAGTTGATATACTAAATGATAAAATAGAATCGTTTACAGAAAAAGTATATTCATATACACAAGAGCAAAAACGAAATTAAAAATTTTCTAATCGTCTAGTTAAATTTGCATTGGGTGAAATCCATCTCCGGATGTTGTTCCATGAACTTCTTAATAACGTCCTGTTTTTTTTGTTCGTCGCTGGTAGGTAGGCCCATTTCTTTTTGTCGCTGGTCGTACATCATTTTCTCCACCATTCCACGGGTCTCTCCGTCGAGATCGCTAAGTTTGGATGGCTCGGGATTGATCTTCTTTGTGCTGATTTCAGGATCGGATTTGACTATTTGACTCCACCAATTCATTTTGTTTACCTAGAAAACGAATACATAAATTAGGCGTACAGTTTACAGTTTGTACAAATATTACAATGAAAATATGGGTCGAAGCATTTATGCCACTCCGAATTAGGTACAGTAAAAGCTCTTTATTCGCGGTTCGAAGATTCGACTAATAAAGCTTAAAGACCTGGATTATTCCTTAATTAAGCAAGTCTATTTTTTACTTTAAGTGGTAACACTGATTTTTTACCAAATGACGGAATATTAAATTGTGATGTGACTGAATTTAATACTTTATGTTTTGAAAATAAATTTATTTTACCTGAACATTCTGTTTGTTTACATTCTCAAAACCACCGACCGTGGCAAAAGCGGCTTACCTCAAAGGAATCGTCGAATCAAACAAACAACGATTTGAACTTTTGAAAACCCAATCTAAGCGTAATTGTAATAAGGGCAATTTTATTATTTTATTAGTCCATTTACTGACTCATTGCGTCAAAGGATATCTAATACTTTTTATTTAGGTATATGTATGTACCGACGTACTGATTCGATCCGCGAATAAAGAAATCTTGGCCACAAATCAAGGAAAGGCAAATAAAGAGCTTTGACTGTATTTCAAAAATAAATTTTTTGTATCATTCGACCACCTCATGTGGCGTCTTAGAATGCTTACCTCGTAATTTTATTTGATTCTCGAGAATAAAAAAAAATCACACGGAACCAAGTAAGGATTGTATGTGGGATGGCCCACCAAATACTTGGATTTTATACGACCTTTGTAATGTTATTCTCTATAGTGTAAGTAATATTGTCTGATCCTAATACTCATTATTAAACTCTAATTTACTAAGTAGATTATTCAGATGCAGAAAGCAGAAAAATATCCACAGATACGTATGAAGGTGCCATCAACACGAATGCAACTAAGGGGTGCCCTGAAGGGGGTGTATTGTCACCAACATTATGGAATATAGTCCTGATTCATGAGTTTAGCAGCCAAGGAATGTGGGTCCAGGGCTTCTCAGATAATACTGTAATATTAGCTAGGAAGAAATTTCCCAGCACTGTTGCCGATCAGATGCGATATGCCCTTCATTACATAGATAATTGGTGTTTGAAAGATAATATCTCTGTGAATACTTCTGTAATACTACTGAATTGAGTGAGCTGAAATTATTTGGGGAGCAACTAGAAAGAACAAATGAGGTCAAGTGTCTAGGGGTACTCCTGGATTCCAAACTCAATTGGAACACTCATAGCAACAACATAACCAACCGGGTTACGTGACTCTTCTGGAACTGCAGACGAGTTGTTGATAACAACTGGGGGGTTCAAACCAAAGCAAATGTGTTGATTATACACATCAGTGATACGTTTAATGCTCTAGTGGACAAAGGAGCCTTGAATAGTACAAGACCGACATCCTTAGAGGCTATCATAGATCTCTCATAGCTGAAATTATATATTTCGGCGATAACCTTTATGGCCATTCTGAGATTTTAAGCAAACAATACATGGAGGCTAAATTATTGATTATTCATACAAATACCACTGGACTTTACTTGAGAAACCTATCTTCCACGCGAACTCTGATATGATGACATCATAAATAATCTTCACTGAGAAGATTAACACAATTATTCTATCTAGAAAACAAAAGGTTCCAAAAATTAATGGGGACTTAATAAAGTTTATTGATAAATCTTAAACTGCCCATAGCTCCGGAGTTTTTGGGCAAACATGTTTTTATAACAAATCTTACAGCCTACTTCAACATACAACTGTTCCAGATTGAAGTTTTTTGCTTTGGTAGCTTGCATTGATGAAATCCTGAATGGAGAGCCAAAAGTAAAGAGAATCAATATTTATATAGATAATGTAGCTGCTATTCTGACCGTAAAAAATCCTCTCACCAAATCAAAACCGATGAGGAAGTGCAAAGATCTTCTTAACAACATGGTAAAATCAATAAAGTGTCTTTAATATGGGTGCCGTATCATTAAGGGGTACATGGAAATGAACGAGAAGATTTGTTGGCAAAACAAGGCTCGAGAGAAACCTTTGTAGACCCAGATCCATTCTGTTGCTGCAAGAAACGAAGTTCTGAAGTATCTGATAAGGAATCATCAAAAGAAATAGAGAGCCACCGAATCCAGACAAAGAAAATAATCAACAATATCAATAAAAACACACTTGGGCAACTTGATGAACCTCAATAAACGAAATATAATGGTGACTAGACATTGTCGTTTAAGAAAACACCCCTAAAAAATGGGTAAGGTGAATGAATGATAGTACAGAAAATGCACAATGAAAGAATAGACTGCCATACAGATCCTATGCAATTGTGATGTGTTGGGTGATAAAAGAAGGGAATTCATTGATCATCTGAGGCTTGAACCAGAAGAGATTCTTAAACTATCAATGAGGAAACTGTTAATCTCTGTTGAGGCAACAGGACTTATTGTAAGTTTAATGAAAAAAAAACAAGGTTTAGTAAAAAGGTCTTATGACTAGGTGCCAGAGATTAAAGTATTCCTCTTAAACTACGATAAAGAAAAATATTGTTATACCCTATATCAGAAGACAAGATGTTAGAAAATTTGGAATGAAAGAAGCAAATTAATGGCCCTCACATTAACTCCTTGATCATCAACAAATTCAATTCATCTACAAGACCCACGAAAAAGAACTTGTCTTACCAAATGAAAATAAACTATTTATAAGCTCTAAATAAGATATTTCAAGTGCCGACCAGAACTCTAGCAACCTTCTCTATTTAGCGAAAAGAACTCTAAATTGCCTGCCAGTCGTAGTTTATCTGATGACTCAGATAACAAATGCAAATGGGCGCGCTGCAAGATCTATCAGATATACTTATATGCCTTCAGTTGGAAACAAGACAAGATTTGATTTGACAAAATTGGACAAGCAAGTGAGTACAGTAAACTAGTGTTAAAAGAGCAGAGAGTGTTCTCATTTAGGTGCGAATTGGTATAAATATTTAGGTAAGAATGGCAAGATAAATTGAAAAGCACTATTCCAAGAAACGAGAACAAAATGACTTGTATTAAAACCTTTCAAGCGTATATATTGCCAATGCTTGAAAACAAGCAACAAAGACAATATATTTTTCAAACGGCTTAATAATAATGATGATTCTCAAAGCACTTTTCACATACCCACCTTTTCAAAAGTAAATAATAGGTCCTTTCCGTCTTCGATCACCCAAGAAGACTCTTCTAATTTGATTTCATGTGGAAAATCGTCATCTATGATGGGCGGCTGGCCTTTGATACCACACGTCAAGTGCTTCTTCGTCATATTTACTACTAGATCTTTCTGCTTTACCCTGAAGTTTACTTTGAGGGGAATTTTTAACTGAAAAGAAAAAAACACGTCAGTATATGAACAAATTATAAAAAATTTGAGATTTCTTAAAGAAGTTTGAAGAAATTTGAGAAATCTTTAAAAAGTGAAAGACAGAAAACATCGATTTACTAAGCATCTGTAAGCTGTAGAAAAAAATGTTACGAAATGTAGCTAAGATAATTTTGAACAAAAATAATAATTAGCACTTTTTCTGTAAAATGAACCGTTCTCTCAGAAACAACGCTTGAAGCAACCGGCGATTTTGAATGTCAGTTACGCGTGTAAATCAATTTTTTTAATAAAATTTGTATCAAGCTCGACGGTAAAAATTCGACGCATTTCGCCGCAAATGAAATCAGTTTGTATAGAGCTGTTAAATAAGTAAACGTTGCGCAATTTATGCTGTTTTGACATTTTTAGCAAAATTAACTCTTTCGCTCATGAGTTTTTGTTTGCACAGATAAAAATAATTTTTTGGTTAATATATTGGTAAAATATGATAAATAACACCCTAGATTTGTTTTTTCAAAATTTGCTTCCTTGTGTATATGAAAAAAATAATGTCTACATCTGTAGACATAAATAGTCAATGAATTAAATTATAGAATTTATCGAAGAATGAAAATACAGTAACAAATAAAACAAAATGTAAGTATGTAACATAAAAGGTACGTATTTATTTTTCATGGAAATTTACAATACAGTTGCGATCTTTTTGGAGGCACAAATGCACCTTACATTTAGTGCAAGTCCATCTAGACTTGCCTTTGCAGCCAACATTCTTGATCCGTCCAGGAAGGGACACCCCACGTGTGCTCAGGCATGTGGTTTATGTTGTCTAATTGTACCGCTGCAAGAGGCCTTACTTCAATCCTAGTTCGACTCACTTGAACAGGGGCATCATCTTTTGAAGGCCTTCCCACTTTCTTCTTGGAAATGTCATTGCCCTGCTAGATGAGCACCTCACCTATCTCTATTCTGAAGTGCAATAAGTCTAGTTGTTTTTTCATTGGGCGACCAAGTAATTGGCAATCTTTTCTGTACTCTAACCAAGAATTTACAAATGCCTTATCCTCCGCATGAAATATGGTAAAAATGGTATAATGATATAAGAGCGTCAGCTTGTTGTCGGGATATAAGGTTAGAACTACGCCTGAGAATGCTTCGATGTTACGTGTTCTCTACTCTTCTTTATTGTCTGGAAGCTTGGACACTAAAACAAGTTCATCTGAATAAGCTGGCCGCCTTTGAATTTTGGTGTTACAGAAGAATCCTACGAATATCATGGATTCAAAGAATGTCAAACATGGAAATAACTAGAAGGATAGGAAATGAGGCGGAAATAATATTAACTATTAAAAGACGAAAACTTGAGTACTTGGGACATGTGATGAGAGGGCAAAAATACGCATTATTACTACTTATTATGCAGGGCAAAATCCGAGGAAAGCGAAATGTGGGAAGACGAAGAATATCCTGGCTTAAGAACTTAAGGGAATGGTTTGAATGCAGTAGTGCAGAACTTTTTAGAGCGGCAGTCAACAGAGTCCGCATAGCCATGATGATTTCCAACCTTCCATAGAAGATGGAACTTAAAGAAGAAGCGTCAGCTTTATCGACTCCGCCCATTGAAGTATTGTATTCCTTCACTATTTGAGGTCGGTTCACTTCAATTCGTTGTTTTGTAGTTTTATCTGAACGTTTTACTGTGTCTTTTTCTCCTATTCCTACATAGTTTGAAGCCAATGCTACTGGCTTATTCTCCAACCAGTTGATAAAAAAAACGCCACCATTTGATATCACTTCCTCAGAAAATCCTCTCTGCTTCTTTCGTAATTCTTTTTCGTTGGTAATAGGAGGTTTAAAAAATCTGTTTAGTCTGATAGTGCCCATTATATCAATAGATTTTTGATTCCGGACCTCGATTAAATTGTAAAAAGTGAAATAATTATCACAAAATATCGTGTGTCTTCGTGGTGCTAAATTTTTGGAAAGATGTAACACTACTGCGGCTGCTTGACCAAATTTTTTAGCTGTTTTAGGATTTGTTTCCGTTGTCTTTCCTTGATAGATAATAAAAATCTATGCTAGACCACAAAGTAGAAATAATTTTAAGCCCCATGGATGTGGTTTATTTTTTATATACTGTTTTATATTTAATTGACCTTTGAAAGGAACCATTTGTTCATCTACGCAAACATAGTTATCTACTTCTAGCTTCCTGCTTCTATTTAGTACTGAATTGAAGACTGGTCTCACCTTCCACAGCTTGTCGTTCTGATTTCGGTCCTCCAAATTGTTAACACAATGTAGATGGGTTCGAAGTTTGTAGAATCTATTTATGGACATTGTCTCGGGAAATATTGACATCTTCCATGATTTATTCCAGCACATACTTAAACGTGGAAACTTGAAACAACCAATAATAATGTGTAATCCAAATAAAGCTTTCAGCTCTTTCAAATTGGTTGGTGAGAAATGGTTATTATTATTCCGAAGAGCATGAATATTGGTACAATCGACCATTTTTTCGAATAAGTTTTCTGTAAAATATTTCATAAAATAGTCTACTGTATACATTTCATTCGAAAGAACAAGCTGGTTTTAGAAAGGGATTCAGCACAAGTGACCATTTACTAAGTATGAAAATACTTATAGAACGAGCAAATGAATACCACATTCCCCTATATATGGCGTTCATAGATTTCGAAAAGGCTTTCGACAGTGTCGAACATTGGGCAGTGAAAAGTTCTTTGATTAACAGCCGAATTGACCACAGATATACGGAACTAATAACCAATATATATATAAGGAAGCCAAAACAAAAATTAAAGTATATGAAGGAACAAAATCATTACGAATAAGTAGAGGCGTGAGACAGGGTGATACAATATCACCGAAACTTTTCAATCAGGCTCTTGAAGATACTTTTAAAAGATTAGAATGGAAAAAAAAGGTATAAAAATTTGTGGACAACGCTTGAACCATCTAAGGTACGCTGATGACATCGTATTGATAACCGATAAAAAAGATGAATTATTTGAAACGATGAAAGAACTGGACGTAGAAGCTGGAAAGATAGGCCTTAATATGAATTACAGCAAGACCAAAACTATAACAAATACAGATGAAGACATCACAATGAGAATCGGACAAGATGAAATAGAACAAGTTAAGGATTATATATATCTTGGTCAAACTATAAAACTTAACAAAGAGAACCAAACAGCAGAGATCAAGAGACGAGTTAGACTGGCATGGGCGGCATTTGGCAAACTAAGCTACATTCTTAAAAACAAAAGATATCCACAGCATCTTAAGACCAAAGTAGATAATAAATACGTCCTCCCTGTTCTTACGTATGGCTCCCAAACGTGGACATTTACAAAAGCAAACATGGACAAAATCATAAAAACCCAAAGAGCAATGGAAAGACAAATGTTGCACATAAGACTAATGGATAAGAAGAGAAACGAGTGGATAAGAGAGAAAACAAAAGTGAGGGATGTTAGACAAGAAGTTGCAAAATTGAAATGGAGATTTGCCGGACACAATATAAGACAAAAAGAAGACCGATGGAACAAAATTCTTATAAGTTGGAGACCGTGGGAATATAAACGAACCAGAGGAAGGCCCCAAATGAGATGGGCAGGTGATATCAAGAAGCACGTGGGCTCTAGATGGATGACTGTTGCGACAGACAGAGAAGAATGGAAAAGGATTGGGGAGGCCTATGTCCAAAGATGGACCGAAGAAGGCTAATTAGATAGATAGATAGATACATTTCATTCTCAAGCGGAAGGTTTTTAACCGATTGTTCCTCAAAAAACATACTTCTGGTTTGGAACTTGACGTCTTGCATCCATATGATCTCATTTCTTTGGGATGTATCCATATTTCGATAAATATCTTCAAACTCTTCAGAATCTGAAGTTGGATGTTCCACAACCATAATGCTTTCCTCGATAACATCATGTAACTCGTCTGCTTGTGCAATTATATCCTCCATATCATCAGGTAAAGGATCTCCAAATTCTCTTCGCATTACAATATCTTCATCTTCATCGCTACAATGGCCCAATTCTATATCAGAAAGGCCCTTTTCTAACTCTTCAAGAAGTTGATTTTCGGTTAAATATTTTCTTAGACATGATTTTCTGAAACAAATAAAATATCTTAAAAAAAATGAAACTTTCCTTTTATACAATCGTCTACAATTGGAGACACCATATTTTAAAGACCTGTTATAGTCACTGCAAGAAATATATGACGAAAACATTTATATACAGCTAATAATACAATACTTGTACTCAAAATGAAACATAAAATCGACTGGATGACCAATAATTTTTTATACATTTATCGAATTACGAGAACTTACCTGATTAGTATACTGTAACCACCATGTAAATAGCTGTTATAAATTGTAGCTTCTCTATGCTAGAAGTCACTGTAAACTAGACAATACTTATTACAGAATGTCTGTGGATGTATAAGATATCACATAACTGTAAAACGGAGCCAATTTTGGGTAGGGCAGATACTTGAAAATTATGTGTACAATTATAGACGCCGTGAGCGAAAGGGTCAAGCTTGATCGTATGATTTTTAAAAGTTCAGTGGCATTTTCGTCTCTGGCGCAACTGGAGTACTTATTTATCTTAATATATTTTCCGGAGTAAGATAATATTATGAACCTAATTTTAAAAGATACGTCAAAAATCCATTATAATTTTCTTTCCGGAAATAATAATGGATAATATACTACATTTACGTCAATATTTCAATCAGCTTTATTAGTCTCCTTTCTTCAAAATCAATCTAATATACATACGTCAATAAAAAATCGATTAATTTCTAATACCATTAAAGAAACACGATCAAATTGAAATGTATAACAAATACCAACAATTAAATTTATAGCTACCGACCACAAGTTTTTTTAAAATAAATTGGCGAAGAAAAAATTGAACCATCACAATCTTAGATCTTTCTGTGATACTTAAAAT